GAAAATACTAACACGATTCTTTCTTTTAGCGATTAACCGACGACAGACGTCGACAAATTTTTTGATCTTTTTTCTCCGTGCATCGCACGAGTACTGCACTAGTTATTATAAAAGGAATGTCTTAATCGTGACAACTTTGATGATCCATGGCAATTTGAATTCATAATTATAATAACGTTAAATTTTTTTCGTAAGAGAGACTTAGTTGTGACGACTTATTAGTCCCATGGTCTTTTAGGTCTCTTTATAGCTTGGCGATCCACAGCTCATCATGAACTTTATGTCAATATAATAATACTAAAATTATCTTTATTTAACGAGCAGCTTAGCCAAGACCGTTTGATGATTTGAAATAGCCAAATTTAATGGACCAAAAATATTTAAATTAACAAACCCACGTTCTTTTTTTAAGAACGAAGTAGCTTTGAGCTCTTCATTGCACTAAAGGAATGTTGGAGTAGAATTCTTTCTGTCAAGTTAAAATTAAAGTTTAATGATTTAGTTTCCTATATGCTAAATAATCATATTTATCTTTTTAGGAATAAAGCAAATATTTCTAAAAATTATTATGATATGTGCAACTAATTTAAGGTAACCATTTTTAAATGAATGTATCGGGTTGCGGTGAGATTAAGTTTTTGTCCTTCCCGGAGTATAATTAGACACCCAAACCTTAATCTAAATTTTAAAAGACCAGTCTACAATAAAAAAAGTTTTTCAATTTTTTTTAAATCGACCCCATATTTTTTTTGATGTATTAAAATAATTTTAGGTCATTACACCCATGAATGATGTGTTTAAGTATCCACACTAAACAAAATTAAGACATATTTTTTTTTTTCATTTCAAAATTATTCTAGTGGAAAAGAGAAGTGTGTCCTATAGGAGAATGCTTTCTCTCAAGTGTTGTTATTGCTTAAGAAATTGATCTTAATTATCAGACAAACAAAAGGCATATTAGGAAAGCATATTAAACAATCCAAAAATGTAACGTGAACTAGGATAAACAATAGAAGCAATGCAATCTCTTTATTTTAACAGCTACAACATTTTTCATCTCCAATTTCAGACCTTCAAAAAACTTGCAATTTACCTAATTTTTATTTTGACAATTGATTTTTCAAATTTAATTCCAGATAAATGAATGAACACAACAAATAAGGGAACACAACACCATTATTTTGATGATAAATTTTATCTTTAAATATCTCCCGAAAATTTGTAACAGGAACATCCCGAATTTAAGCAGTCGCTGATGTATGTCTATTTTAGGATGACATGTATTTCATGATCGGCTTAATAAATAATTTTATTTATTTAATATCATTTAACAGCTGCCAGTTGCGTTTAGATATATTTATATTTTATTGATATATTAAGAAAGGATAATTTGGATTAGCGTGGATATAAATTTAATATCAATATAAACTATGTTACACGGTATGTGGGATATGATAGGATACGACATTATGATACGTTAATTTTAAAAAATATTAAATTTCAATATGTTTGAACACATTTTGATATTAAATATATTTTTAATTTATGTAGTGTATATTATATTTAATATTTAATAATTTAATAAAAATGAATATTAAATCAGAAAAATATTTCTGCAGTTAATGCAGATAAGTTATATGTATTTATTTTCAAAACGACGTCATTTTGGGATTGGAAGATTAGGAAATTATAATTATAAAGACTAAAATAATCATGAAATAAATTAAAATTACAAAAACACCATGATTTCTGCTCCAAAATAACGTCGTATTGGACTTACTGCAGATAATTTATCAGTAACTACAGAAAAAGCCAACCTATATTGAATGAAAAAAATATTTGTCATTTTAAGTGACACAAAATTATGTCATTTTTAATGAAACTACGTTGTTTTGGTAAATTTTTACATTCTCTCTCCTCCATTTTCTTTTTATTTCTAATTTTATAAATTAGAGAAAATGACAAAACACACCAAAACGACGTAGTTTCATTAAAAATGACACAAAGTTATGTAGTTTAAAATGACAAACACTAAACTCATATTAAATATAGTTGAAAGTTGAAACGAATTTGCACGATTTTTTGGGATCGCTCTCTAGTTAAAAGTTAAAACAAATACCGGATGAATATCACCAAAAAAATAATAAAAAGTACCGGATGAATATGAATATGAGTTGAACAATAGCAGATCCAAAAAATTTTATTTATGTGTGTATATTTAGTAAGGGAAGTTGGTTTCCGAATTTTTTTTAAAGACAATTTTAAATGCATTAAAAAATAAAAAATAAATAAAAAAAAACCTTCAATTTAATATAAAAAACAATAATCAAGAATCAACAAATCTATTACAATATAGAAAAGGCCACCACCACGGATCAACCTTTGATATCACTGTTGTATCGGGTACAATTTTTTCCTAACAATGATACCACAGATTTATCCCACCACCACATACATAACCTTAGAATATCATTGAAATTTGTTTTGAAAATAAATGGCGAGACTTGTTGACGCAATAGTTACAGTAAGGGGTGCTTCTCGCTGCTTACATTGATTTGAAGCGAGGGACATCATGCACGAAACAAACACACTCGCACACCATAGCCTCAAGGCCCCACCCACCAGCATCATCAATAACAACGACCCTCACCCCTCATACCTCATCATCATCATCAACCCAAATGTCTCTCTGCTCTGTCTTCGTGTCCACAACTCCATCCTGATTATTTTGCTTCCTTGGCCTTCTGCTTTGCATCTAAGCTATCACCTCGAGCACCAGAATCAGCCACCACAGAACCAACCCCACATACATCACATTCGCAACTTGCCGTCACCAGAATCAGCCATCAAAAACTTTTTTTTAAATTTTTTTTTTTATGTCCGCAGGTGTGCGGACAATTGCGCATGAGTAAGTCCGTCAGTGGGTTGAAATAAACATGAAATTGTATATCTTATTCGAATCACTGACGTATCTCTTAAAAATTGCCACCACCCTCAATTTTTTAAACGCGTCCAGGAAATAGCTGGCAAACCGGGAAAAGTCAAACCGCCTAAAGAGAAAGAGGCCACTAGCCCACTATCCCCTTCACGCCTAGAGTGTGTTTGGTAGAGATTTTTTATAGAGATAACTAGGCAACCTACTTTGGATTTTGAACTTGCCCACATTTGGTAGAGGAGTTAACAAAATTTAACTAGGAAAATTGTTTGCCTAGTCTTTGTGTTTTCTTTGCAAAATTTTTTGTTTTCCACTGTTTCAGAAATCCATATCCAATGTGGTATTTTTTTGTTTACCCATGCAACCAAAAAATAGCATGAACCAGTAGACGGAAATTACCTTAAGCTCTTCTACCTCTACTCAAAAGTTAAAAAGGTTAGTTTCGTTATTTTAACCAATTATCCCATCATTATTTTACCTCTACCAAACATAGACTCAACAAATTTAACTCAATTTTTTCAGTAATATTTCATCCTACCAACCAACTTTTTTTAAATTTTCCTATCAAAATCATTTTCTCTCCATTTCCCCACTAATCAAATTTGCCTAGTTTAATTTTTTTTCTCCTCTGCCAAACGCCCTTAAGGGAAAACTTTATATGGTTTTTAAGTAGTGACGGATTAAGTGTACAATTTTTATTTATTTTTTGTTTACTTCACTGTCCTCTTCGCTATTCCCTACATCAAAAAATTTATGTAATTGAAATTGTAAGAGTTCAAATAGCCGGACACGTCATTTAAAAAAAAAAAAAAAAAACCGTGTCGGACATTGACACACTCCGATACGATCAATACTTTTCGACACGCGGTCAACTCTTCGACACATTCCTACATGTTTTTCCGAACGCAGTCAATTTTTCCGACACGTGGTCAACATTCCGACACGTTTGGACATTTTTTTTTAGTCTTAATTTTATTTTATTAACTAAATATAAAAAAACGATTAATAAATCAATTTTTTTCTGTTATAAAATTTGAGATGAAAAATTAACAAGGTACGAATTTTTATTTTTATTTTTATTTTTATGTTATGAAATTTGAATATTTGATTGGTTATATGACTTATTATGAACTGTTATATGTATTAAATATAAATTATATTATATATATTAAAATTATTATTTAATATCAAAATGTGTCCCAACTTGTCGAAATATGCATTTTTTTGTAATAAAATATGCGATTTTTTAAAATTAATGTATCGACGTGTCGTGCCGTGTCTCGTATCCTGTGTCAGTGTTCGTGCATCATAGATTGTAGATATAAATTGTTTTTTTTATATTTATGCTATGAAATTTGAATATTTGATTGGTTATATGACTTATTATAAACTGTTATATGTATTAAATATAAATTATATTATATATATTAAAAATATTATTTAATATCAAAACGTGTCCCAACGTGTCAAAATATGCCATTTTTTAAAATTAATGTATTGACGTGTCGTGTCGTGTCTTGTGTCCCATGTCAGTGTTCGTGCATCATAGATTGTAGATATAAATTGTGTACTTTTTATTTATGTATTCTAAGAAAGAGAAAAGGCCATTATCCCCTTCACACGTCATAATATATAGAGAAATTTTTTAATATTGATATAAATTGTGTCTTTTTTAATTACTTATAGTTATATATTTTGAAAAGTATATAATTATAATAATAAAAAAGTATAACTTTAATATTATAATTATGTACTTCTCGAATATATAATTGTAAACAAGACACATCTTACATGCTTTGAAATACAAATCATCCCATAACCAATTTAAAGAGTCAAAATTTGTAGGAATACAAGGGGAATCAATTAACTCACTCAAAAATATAATTAAGTTTGAGTTAACTCAAAAAAAAAAAAAAAGACAAACCATTTTCCCTAATATATAAACAGGAAACATAAATATTATATTTTAGGAATGAGTTTTTGGTCCACGCACCCTATATAAAGCTTCTTTCGCTAGTCTTCTTAACAAGATAGCAGTGTTATTGTTGACGAAGACTTAGTTAACATGGCACCTCCTCCTTCTTCTTCTTATGCTGCTGTTTCATTTCATCCCAAAATTTATGATGTTTTCATTAGCTTTAGAGGTGAGGACACTCAGAGCAACTTCACAAGCCACCTTCGTTCTGCTATTTGTCAAAAGCAGATCGAAGTATACATGGATGACGAAATGAAGAGAGGAGATGAGATCTCACCAGCACTTATCAAAGCAATTGAAGATTCATACATATCGGTCATCGTTTTCTCAGAAGATTATGCTTCCTCAAAGTGGTGCTTGGATGAACTCCTTAAAATACTCGAATGCAGGAACAAGGGACAGGATGTGATACCTGTCTTCTATAAAATTGACCCATCAAATGTGCGGAACCAGAGAGGGAGTTACAAGAAAGCCTTCAAAAAACACAAGAGAGATTTCAGCGAAGACAAGTTGAGCAAGTGGAAACAAGCTCTGTTTGAAGCAGCCAATCTAGCTGGGTGGGACTCTAGAAAATACGGGTAATTAAGTATTGTGTTTTTACAAGTTCATTTTTCATATGATGCTTAACAATCAACAGATATTAATATCTTTGTTTTCATTTCTTGAAAGTTGAAATTGACATCAACCCTGACTTGCTCCTACCACGTGCATTTTACACGGTTTCATATTAATATTCATTACCCGTACCTGCACAACATAGTGAAGAATTCTTTATGCAAAACTGATTACACCCTAATAGCAAGAAGTTAATGTTAGTTCTAGGATATTTTTATTGTTAAAAGATGCTATTACTGCTTACATAATGTATGATTGTACATCTAACCTTCGTTATAGCCACTAGTCCACAACTTGATTATAGCTTTAGCTAGCTACATCAGAATCTTATACATCAATTGCTTGGTAAAGATTTTATTTTACTTGAATTAAACCAAGGACAAAAAAGTAGAAGGACCACCAAACACATGTATCATATGGCAAAGCGATTGTTCCAGGAGTTTAAATTTCTAGGAATTGTGTTAAAACTTGGTAGGTAGAGTTTTACCACCCATGTGATTTTACCCGACTCGAATAGAACTAATCGAATAATTGATGAATCAATGAATAATGTTAAAAAAGAAAAAATAGAACAAAGGCCACAAATGTCATCCATGTATACGTACATTCCTTATGCTCTTTACCTTTTTAATTGTCACTATATATACATCCCATGCTCTAGCAACGCTGTTATTTTTCTTTCACAATGATTTATTACTCATTACTGTGTCTCTTCCATATATCCCCATGTGCATACTAATCCTAAATGTAATTACCAACATCCGGTTTGACATTCTCGATCCTTTCGGATCGATAAGAAACTCTATATGCATTTTATTAACCTGCATCATCTTGGAGGCACAATATCCTATGCACAGCTCCCACGCACTAGAAATATGGACACCCTCAAAAGCATCTTAAAAAGGAATTTTAAATAACACAAACTACCGTTATATGGAAGTAAAATATAAACAAAAATATACGTGGCATGAGATTGATGAAGTCTTATATTTCGATTTTTTATTTTAAGTGTTATACAATAATTCTACCCTTTCACTCACTTTAAATTTTATTTGGCACGTGTTAGGGACGAACAGACACTAATTCAAAAGATTGTCGAAGAGGTTTTGGAAAAATTGGAATCCAAGTACCCACCAAGGGAATCAAAATGCCCTTTTGGGACCGATGAAAACCTTGCACCTATTGAATCATTATTAAGAGAATTTCAAATCATTGGAATTTGGGGCATGGGTGGCATAGGTAAAACCACCATTGCTAAATGGTTATTTGGCAAATACTCTTCTCAATATGAAGGATCGTGTTTTATGGAAAATATAAGGGAAAATTTTGAAAAAGATAAACACGCACTACGCAATGATCTCGTTTCCAAGCTTCTAGAGGAATATGAGAGAAAAATCAATGTGGAATCCGTTGTTGTTAAGAGAAGGCTTTCTCGTAAAAGAGTTTTCGTTGTGCTTGATGATGTGAGTTCTTCAAAGCAATTAGAATATCTGGATGGAGAACTTCAATGCTTTGGATCAGGTAGTAGAATCATCATTACATCCAGAAACATGCATGTCCTCCTCTGGAAAGGAGTTGATGAAATAAAAATACATCATGTTAAGGAATTGAACCCAAAGGATTCCCTGCAACTTTTCAGCTTGAATGCCTTCAAACACAACCATCCTTTAACGGGATACGAAGTGTTATCAAATAGAGCAATTGCTTATGCTAAAGGCTTGCCATTAGTCTTAAAGGTTGTAGGTTGTTTTCTTCATTCAAAAACTAAAAATGAATGGGAAAGTGAACTACAAAAATTAAAAAGGATTCCCGATGATGAAATTCAAAGTAAGTTACAATTGAGCTATGAAGGATTAGATGATCAAGAGAAGGACATATTTCTAGACATTGCATGCTTTTTGAAGGGAAAACGTGAAGAGCATGTCGTGAGCCTGTTAAATGACTTCAATCCCCGTATTGGCTTAAGAAATCTTCAAGATAATGCTCTTATAACTATAGAGCATGATTTCGTAAAGATGCATGACTTGATACAAGAAATGGGTCGGGAGATTGTTCGTCAAGAATCTATCAAAGATCCTGGAAAACGCAGCCGATTGTGGGATCCAGAGGACGTCTATGATGTATTGAAATATAACAGGGTAAGAAAAAGACACTTATTTTTCTTTCAAGAAAAAAAATACAGATATTAAGGTATTGATTACTTATTAGTATTCTTTTGTTTGTTTGACAGGGAACTGATAAAGTTGAAGGCATAAATTTAGATATGTCCCAAATCAGAGATCTATGTTTGAGTGTTGACACATTCAGAAACATGATTAATCTAAGATATCTGAAATTATATTTGCCGTATGGTGTTAGAGATTGTAGTATGTTGTCCCTTGCTGCAGGTGTCCAATTATTTTCTAATCAATTAAGGTATCTCGCGTGGGATAGATACCTTTCAAAGTCTCTTCCATTAATGTTTTGTACGGAAAAGCTTGTTGAGCTTTCAATGCCAGACAACCACCTTGAGAAGCTTTGGGATGGAGTGCAGGTATATATATATGTATGCATTTCAGTTTATATTTTACTTGAAATATGAGAATTTTCCCATTACATGACTTTCATTTAACTGTTACAGGATTTGGTGAATCTAAAGAGAATAAACCTTCGTGGATCCACAAGGTTAATGGAACTCCCAGATTTCTCTATGTCGACAAATCTTGAAACAGTAGAGCTCTCCGATTGTGTAAGTTTGTGTCATATTCATCCATCTGTGTTATCTATCCACTCGCTTGTTACTTTGCGGTTATCTCGGTGCAAAAGTTTGATCAGTCTTGAAAGTGAGATTCACTTAAAATCTCTTGAATTTCTTTTCTTTGATGACTGCTCAAGCCTCAAGAAATTTTCGGTGTCGTCGGAGGAAATTAGAGAATTGAATTTCTGGTGCACAAGCATTGAAATATTGTCTTCAGCTATTAATCATCTCAGGAGACTTGAAAGTCTCACACTCGATGGCTCAAAACTTGAGAAACTTCCAGATGGGTTATCAGGTTTGAGAAATCTTAAAAGACTCTTCATTTACAATTGCCCCAAACTAAGGATTTACGAACAAGAGCTACGTAACATTTTTGATGGCTTGCAGTCCTTAACACATCTTTGTTTGAACGTGGGAAGTGACTTTTCTGAGTTACCTGACAACATTAGTGTATTATCATTGTTGCACTCATTAGATCTAAGCAGAAGCAATATCAAGTGTTTGCCTGGAAACATAAAGCAACTTACAAAGCTGAGAGTTCTTCGCTTAAGAGATTGCAAGAGGCTTGAGTCTCTCCCAGAGCTTCCACAATTCATTACACATTTGGATCTAAGCGGAAGCAATATCATGTGTTTGCCTGGAAACATAAAGCAACTTACAAAGCTGAGCTTTCTTGATTTAAGTCATTGCAAGAGGCTTGAGTCTTTCCCAGAGCTTCCACTATCAATAACAAAGTTACATCTTGAAGGAAACAATATTGAGAGTTTGCCTAACAGAATCAGGGAAAATATAAATTTAAGACATCTTGAGTTAAGTGAATGCAAGAGTCTTCGATCTCTTCAATGGCTTCCACAATCAATTGAACTTTTAGATGCCACTAACCGTGATTTATTGTGGGATTTACTGAAAATATTTTATTTTGGAAATTGCATGAACTGGGATGAAGATTCAATTTCCTCTATTTTGGGAAAGGCCGTCAAAATTCACTTTCCAGAATGCTCCAGAGATAATTGGACACCAAGGAATTTCATGACTATTAAACTTGATCGACCTGCAGAGATAGTGACTTATGTTTTCTGTGTAGTACTTTCTCCGTTCTCCTCCAATCAAGGTAAAGGCACTTTTTCTATCAGATGCTATCAAGATGTTAACACACATCGAAATATGTACTCTGCATCTCTTAAACCTATCAGAGGATTTATTGGTTTGAAATGGAAAGCTACTAGAGAATTGAATTCTGATTATGTTTACGTATGGTGTCAATCAGTTGATTACTTTCCCAAACAAAGTGCCACTTGCAACTCATCATTCAAATTCGTTGTTGAAAGTAATCGAAATGGTGAGCCACATCCCGATATCACAATCAAAGAGTGTGGAGTGTGCCCAATATATACTTTTTACAAAGCTTCTTAGTGAATGTTGTAAATAATAGTTTAGAATAGTAGTATAGAAGTCACATATCATGTATATCACTTTAAATTTTCTTTCTTTTAAGTTATATAATAGACTATCTACTGTGTTATTGAGACACACGAATTACCTATAAATCTCCTTGTTTATGATATTCAACAATGTATCAAGACCCTAAAAATCTTCCTGAAAACTGTCACCGTCGTCAGTTTTCGGCTACTGTCTGCCACCACCGTCCTCAACCAAAATAGTTTTTCGTCGACCATTTTGATCGAAATGTACATCAACGGAATGAGAAGAAGCTGATCTACCCAACGCCGCAAGATCCACCGTCATCAGAGGTTGCCAGTGCCGTGGACCACCTTTGAACACCGTTGACTGCCACCATCGATCACTTTTCAAGATAACTTCTAATTTTTCAACTTCTAAATGTTTGAAAAAATGAGTAATATTTAATTTTAAGAAAAAAAATAACAATTTAGATTATTGAAAAAAATCACAAATCTTTGCAATATTAGACGTAATAGGATATGTGTTTTTGGGTCTTTTCATTTAGTAATTAGCTTTTGTGCAAATGTTTATTCTCTTTTTTGTCTGTTTATCTTCATCATCTTCTTAAATGAACATGTAATAACCAATATAAAATTATAAATTAAAGAAAAAAAAATTAAAAAATATGTAAAATTAATACAAAATATTTTAAATTTAAAATGGCATCTATCATTATGAAAAAATAAATTATAAAAATTTAATCAATATAAAAATGAATGACCATTCAGTAACCAGTGACCTTCCAATTTGGTAAACTCAGTTGCATTATTTACTAGAAAAATATTAGACATGTGTTGCATCATTATTCTTATAGGCAAACGTAGATAGATGTTATCCTTAATAAATTATTTCAGTCCATATCAGGAAATCGTTCATACTCCTTAAAAAATTTCGTACAAGTATTTTTTATTAAATTTTTTTAACATAAAATTTTAATTATATATGTATAACCAATATAAATATTATAAATTAAAATATAAAATGTTATTTTTCAAAAAATATGTATAATTAAAATAAAAAATTATGAAAAAATATACAAAAGAATTTAAATTTTTAATTTAAATAAAAAATGACATCTGTAAAAAAAATATAAAAATTTAATCAGTATAAAAATGAATAATTATTCAGTGACCATCCAACTCTTGCATCGTAAAAAGATGTTAGCCATTAAGTATTTCACATACTATTTTAATGATTCCCACTACTTTCTAAATGAAAAATTGTTAAGCCTATTAATAATGTTTAATATTATGTCTATTGTGTGAAAAAATATTTAACATTTGAAATTCAAACTTTTTAAATTTGAATTTTGAACTTGATTGGTAGGAAAAGAGTTGAGCATTTAATGTTTTTTCAGTGGAAAAAAATATATACGTAAATTTTTTTAATATAATATAAAATTATAGATTAAATGAAAAATTAAAAAATTGTAAAAATATATGTAGAGATGATAAAAAATAATTTAAATTTGAAATTTAACTACAAAAAAATAGCAGTAACTATGTACCTATTACGAATAAGTCTAATTGCTGATGTTAATAATGAGTTGCCAATTCCATTAATAAAAATGGGATATAGTTAATCCTAAAATAAATGAGATATAAATGGAATCCTCATAAAAATAGGAGTTACCAATGCTCATAATGATAAGATGGAAAACGAAAAAAAAAAAACAAATGAATGAAAAATATTTTATTTTAATTCGAAATTTAAAATATTTAAACTAAATAGTTAGTGCGAAAAGAGTTCAGAATTAATTAGTGGCAGACGCAATAGGAATTGAGCAAGGAGACTCAATAGTTGAGAAGGATCCATTGGATGCACCATTGGATTGAGAAACTTAGTTTTTCTCTAAACTTTCAAAGAGGATAAGTAAAATGTTGAGATAATGAACAATATAGTATGTTTGAGTAGTTTGTCTAGCCATGGACTTAATCATTGTGTGTGTATTAAATGATGAACACATCTCTTGCCTTGACCATAGGTCGGCTTGGTGTGATTTAGACTTTGTGTTGTTGAGAAAGCAAAGTAAAAAGTGAACATTACTTAAGATAGGGAAACCTTAAGAAAACAATACGGGTCCTTGTTAAATGAGTTAAAGCACAGACTAAATGAATAGATAAAAGAGAATATCGATTTGAATGTAGTAGGTTAGTTCATACACTGATTGTCTTCACATTTTGGAATAGGTTGTGATATTGAGAAAGTATTGTGATTTCTTGGATACTAGGAGTATATTGGAGGACGTTGCTTGACAAGAAAGCTTTCGGTCCTTGGGGTTAATCCTCGTTTGTTCCACCAGGCTCCGAGGGAGGATGGTTCTTTAATATGGTATATTGAAAATGATTTGTTATATATTGCATGTATATGTATGTATGTTTGTGTGCCACACAAGACGGTGTTTCCTTGTGTGAGACATAAGACGGCATTTCCTTATGTATAGTATGAGACATTATTTTCTCATACGGTATGTTGGAAAATAGTGTTTCCTTGCGTAATGCATACTTGTTATATTCTCTAGCCAGTAGAATTTGTTTATTGTACACATTCATTGATATACATATTCTTATGCATACATTATTTTATACTATTTATGCCTAAAATGAACCTGGAGGTGGAGGAGCCCTCCAAGGACCCCTAGTTTGCTGAGATTATCATCTTACCCCGCGTTATGCGGATTATCATTTTAGGTACAGTAGCTGATTGTTATGAGGCATCGCGTGACAAGAGGTCGGAGGAGAGATACTAGCTGACCTGATAGTCATGTTTTGATTGACATTTCATTTTGTACATGACATGATGTTATTCTTTGGAGATGTACATGCCATGTATTCTTTTGATGAGCATAGGGGATGTCTATGCCATGTTGATAGTTGTATATGTGTTGTTAGTGATGTACACTGAGGTCTATGTTACTTATTTAATTGCATCTCTTTTGAGTATTTGATGTGATTATCTAAGTAACATCATGGACATTATTTGGGTAATATGTTTCATCTATGTTGAGTTATGATTGAGATATATTCAAACTGCTAATCAGGTGGAAATGAAAAGGGGTGGGAAATGTCCTAGTGGTCCAAAATACAGATGAAATGTCATCCATTTTATTTTGGCCATAGAAGTGATAAAGTTTGCAATACATAAGGAAAAAGAAAAAGTTAACCAGTTAGCTCCGTATTTAAATTATAAAAGTATGCTGCACTTATTATCATATGAATATTAATTAACCGGCTGCAGACGGGGCGTTACGTTACAATATAGAATTCTGATCTTTGCTTATTGGTATTCTATGGTGCCTATGGATATTTGAGGGATGCAATATATGTATCAAGTGTAAGTAAGGGGAGAAGTCTTTGGGTGGTCAAAGACATTGATTCCCTCCCATATCTTTGAAAATGTTGTTGATATAACTTATCTCATCACTCCTTTGGAATTGAATGGGCTATATAAGCAAAAGGTTAATCTTGTTAATTCTTCTCTTAGGCAATCACCTCCTTTCATGAAAAAAGAACAAAGCTTGCAGCTTGGAAGACTGCAAATCGACATCCTCGGCCACTCCCTTCACCTCCAGGAATGCCCAAATCATATAACAAAAGAGAGTTAGTGGAGTTGGTAGCTAAAAGTATAATGAGCATGGTAGTATTGCCATAATTGGAGCCAAATGAGACGCTGTGTCTGGACTGTTGTATAATATTTTATATTTTATTTTAATCCCCAAATATTATAGTTTAATAATATTTATTGCTATTGATCAATAATTTTGCTGTTTATTACCAGAACTAATCTGGATATAAGGTAATTATGTCAAGAGATCAAATGTATTCATGAAGATTTCATGTTTTCCTTTTTTTTTTTTAACATGAGAGTTTATTGAATGGCTTTGAACGTTGTATTATCTATTTCAATGTATTAAATTGGGTTGTAAAAAAGTATGAATTCCTCTGGGGGGTAGACTATGTCAATGTAACTGTGATCTAGGGAGGCAAAGATGTGGGCTTCAGTACGTGGTTGTAAAAAAGTATGAATTCCTCTTTTGGGGGGGTAGACTATGTCAATATAACGGTGATCTAGGGAGGCAAAGATGTGGGTTTCGGGATGTGTGTGTGTGGAGAGAAAGAGAGAATTGGGGGCTTTATAGGGTTGGAGATGCTTTGGTGTGAGTCATGTTGTTTTGCCCTTATGGGTCCCATTGTGAGTGAGGCAGCCACCCTCACCTGCCTATGTATGGGAGGGGATTAGGTGTAGTAAAGAGACATTTGTCTCACTTCAGGCCTACACAAATTTAACCCCTATAATGAGCTTAACTTATCAGTGCAAAGTATTGGTCATGTAACTCATGTTGAAAGAGTATATTGCTCCAAGATTGCATCAAATATAATAATAATTTTTGAAAATGTTTTGATGATATCAATAATAGCTCCAAGTTGAAGATCAAGGATTAAAAAAAAAATGTTATATTTACGAATTTTTTATTTACAAATTACATTAATTTTTACAAACTACGTTAGTTTGACCGGTCATACACTAATCAAGAGTGTATGACCGGTCATACTTAGTGTAATTTGTAAAAAAAAATTATAAACAGATACTTCCCTTTAGAAAAATAATATTTCCTTCCAGATCAAGATTCATTCTTATTTCTTTTTCTCTCTTGGTTATCCCTATTGTTATGGAATATTATTCGTATCGTAACTACTCACCTAAGAATCTATCAAAGGATAAATCCTCAACTATCCTAACAATATAGAAGCCTTATCTCAACAGAAAGGAGGCCGAATCCTTCTACAACTGGGAGTTCCACACAAACCCTAGAGGTAACCCTTATAAATAAGAGGCTAAAGACCCTAGGTATACACTTTTAACCTATTTACTATTGCTGCCAACACTGTGCACACACCCACGTCTTAGGCTATAAGCCTATTGTTTGTGGGCAGTAATTGAGACATTGACTATAAGCCAAATACATACCAGATTTTACGATATCTCTGAGCGCATACCATATGATATAGCAATACGGTCCAGGACATAACACCTAGCATCTGTTTCTATCTCTTCCGTCTTAGTTTAAATCAGATGATCAAATGTGGGTTCATGCGGTTATGTCTATGCCTACACCAAGAACGGCTCTTGCTCTTTATGCATGGAAACAAATTGATCGTCTAACATCAAATTCAGATTATTAGTAAGGTATCCGTATAAAAAACAATCTCCAATTTTAATATAATAATACCCATTGTACTTCTAAAATTAATACCATATCAAAACATAGAATATTCCTTAATTTAGATATGATCTAACGGTTAAAAAATAATAGTAAGATTTGTAAGATTGAGGAGATAATAAATATAACCTGCCCCAATTTTTTTCTTATTAATTTTCCCAATTTTAAGTTGCTATTGAGGACCAGTATTTGTCCCGTTCGTGAAACAATTTAGTTCTCAAAATATTCTTTACTCCATATCTTTTCCTCGACAAGAAGATACAATCTTTGTTTCTTATGGCGTTTGCCATAAGCCATGTAATACGTCAAAACAAGTACAACTGTAAGTAATCAAACCAAAACAGTTGCATAGTATCACTCTCACCACAACGAAATGGATTTTGCAGTTTCCAATGAATAGAGAGCCACGGTGTTAGTGAAAGGGAGAGATCATTTGTAATCAGCCAATAATTAAAACTCAAAAGTTTAAGAAAGGAAGACAATGCATAGAGTATTAACCCTGTGTGATTTTTCAACACGCAGGGAATTGAAAAAATATAATATATAATTAGCTAAGTTGCTTTGTTATATATTATAAGTTGTTGAAATTTGAAAGCCATGTACATTTCAAGAGTTGAAAAATTATTAAATGACCTTAAACCCTTCAAAAAGGTGAAGGGAAAAACATTATTCTGTTGGATGATATATTATACAAAAGGTGTGTTGATAGCTTGCAAAAAATGAAAAGAAATAGACTAAAGTAAATATTGCTATATGATATTGATTGAGCGTGTTCCTCAATCGATTCAAATCGCGGTGATCAAACCGAAAAATTGATAATTAAATTAATCGAAAATCGAAAAACTGAAAAAAAAAAAATCACAAAATTTAATTGAATTGGATGGGTTTTCGGTTTAGTTGATGAAAACTGATTCAATGATTCCTGAACCATGCCCTCTACCTACTTGGGTCTTTCCTCAATCATAGCCCCAAAATCATATAGCAAAATTCTAACCCAAGATTCATTAACTCATCAAGCTAGAGAAAGTGGGTTGTGCTTATCTATGTTATGTTTGTTATTTTTGGTAAGATACATTGTATATTTTTATTGCATAGGTTATTGTTTTATAGCAACTCCTCTAAAATGAAATTTGGATTACTCCGTATCTCAGTCAACCACACTATAAATTTTTTATTGGAGGTAAAAGATGGTAATTCAACTTTTTGTTTACTATATTGAAAATTAGATTATCGTTTACTGATGCTTCTAGATTGCACAATAATCATCATTCCAATTTTACAAAGTTGATACATATAAAAGATGTGTTATTTGCACAAAAATCATCATACAAATTTTAGGCTTTTCAAAAAATCGAAAACTGATCCAATCCAAACCGAATAAAATTGAATTGGATTAGACTTGAAAAAAAATCCAAACCAAATAAACGATTATATGATCAAACTGAAGAGATTGGATCGGATAATTTTTGCTTCCAAAACTCTTCCAATCCAGATCATGAACACCCCTAATATTGATTGTTAATTATATTTTCTAATAATTTGCAAAATATCAAATTTGAGACCTCTCAACACACTAGCCTATTTAGATCATCTTATTTTTAAGCTAGAAACTACTTATAAGCTAAAGCTAAAAAAAGAGCTTAAAAAAGAAACTAAAAGCTGTTTGGAAATTACATAACATTTTTAGCTTAAAAATTACTTAAAAGCACATATTTCAAAAAAACTATCTCTCTATCTTTATCACTCTTCATTTAAAAAAAAGCACACAATTCAAGAAAAACAAATAAGAGCTTAAAAAAAGCTCCTCCTAAGAGCTTTTAGTTTTCAGCTTTTTCTTCATTATAAAAAAAGATCTTTTCGTTATAAGAGCTTTTCCCAAAACATGTTTGGCTTAGCTTATGCTTATAAGTAGCTTCTAGCTTAAATAAGAGAGGATCCAAATAGGCACTAAATATACTCACCAACCCAAAATAAAAATAAAAATAAGAAACGTTATTTACACTTGCCGCTTGACAAAGGGGAAATTGAAGCTTAATGCATCATGCATGCCTCTTGGTTGAGACCTAGAAATTTTTAAAGGGTTTAAGTTTTCTTATGTTGTAGGAGAGAAAAAAAAGTAGAGAGAAGTTAAATGTGGGTCCCATATTTTATATTAAAAAAAAAAAGAAAAATTAATTGGCACGGAAAACGAATTTGTGTAGGAAAATAATGTAATCTCATGTGGCATGAGAGTATTATTTCCCATTTTTGAAAGAGGCAAGCTACAGCTTATTTTTAAGTAATTTTTTTTTGTTAGGATGGTAATTAAGGGGGAACAAAACCCTTTTTTAAGGAATATCTCTACCAATAAATCGAATAACAAATTACAATAACTATTGAAGTCACACCAAACATAAGACTCAAAACTCTTTTGTAAGAAATAACTTTACTAATGGACCAAATAACAAATCACAATAAGCAAATTGATACTATATTTCAACCGAAAACTTTAAAATTATAAATTTATGGATATTTTACATTTATATAATCCTCATTAATTCATGTTTAATCCACATGGACTTCACTTACACATACTTGAATATTTCAATCATATTTAAGTAATAATTCCATAGCACTGGGGAAGTACTTAATGAAGTTTAAACTTCTATGCGTAAGAAATAAAAAATATATATGATTTGATATAAGTCACGTTTATTATTAAACTAATTCTATTATTGTAAGAAATAATGCCCAGATTGCAAAATGCTGTACTCCTTTGATTTCAGCCATTTACGATTTTAAAACATAATCAATCAGTTTATTATTATTATTAATATTATTATTATTGGCACGGACACGAAACCCTGTAGGGAGAAAAACAATAGTGCTCTTAAAACCTAACTGTCTGTACTTTTTTTTTTATTATTAATATTTTAGATAAAAAAAATTTAATAATAAAACTTCCACTGGATTTTATTTTATTTTTTAACGTAGAAACGTTGGTCCTCTCGGCACATCGGTTTCTTTGCTTTTTTTTTTTTTTAATATATATTCCCTTATTTAGAGTTGTGTGAAGCGCTTTTATTTTTTTAGGCTCCTAGAATTATGCTATCTACATATTTCTATTGTTATGCACAAATACCAGTGGTCTATCTTAATTTAGTGACTCTTTATGAAGTTTCAAACTTAAGTTTCTTTTAAATTTATATAAGTGAAATGACTTGTACAATTAGAACAATTGTAAACCCAATATTGAGTTATGTTTATGCTTCTTATAATTTGTCTGTCACTACCAGCTTAATAAAGAATAGCGACAATAGGTAGCAGTATAACTGATGAAGATTCTCTTAGCCCAAAAATAAGACCTGATCAATATCTAGAAACAAAGGTTGGGGGCAGTGCACTTGTGCGGTGCCAACTGCCAGCAATTCTGAATTGCCGAAAACCAAGCAGAGAGAAGGATCTCTACTTTGGGAAAATATTTTTGGTAATACAAATATACCAAAATATGAAGGGAAAAAAAAAATAACACATCATTTATTAAATATAAAAAAATAAATCAGTTATATTACCCTTATTTTTATGATTATTTCTTTTTATATCCTTCTTATTCTTTTCTTTTCTTTTTTGTAAGAAAATACCTACTTTCGTTACACCAAAAATTTACTTATACTTTGGTCCTCCCAAACCAAATGAAAGAGTGTATGGTTGCAAATAGTTACCAGGAAATCCATCATAGTTAAGACAAAATTCAACTAGCAACACTAACAAGAAATCAATATAACGGTATTTTATAATTTATGGGTGTCACTATAGCTGGCCTAGAAAAGGTAAGTACCCCAAAGCTGTTCCTTGCGCACTCAGACTTGGTATATAAAATTCATGTTTCTTGTTGGTCACACTAGAATGTTTTCTTAAAAGGCCAAACCAAATATCATAACTACTTGATCCGATTAAGACTAAAACTCATAAACAATTTCATTTTCAAAATGTGACTTTCTTGGAATGCATAGAAAAACAAGGAGAGAAAGAAAGAAAGAAAGAAAAAGGCATCTTAGCAGCATTATAATTTTATACATTCTTGTGGCAACAAACAGCTAGATAATACCACCACCACCAAATATGTCACTTACTATTCTTAATAAAAAAGCAAAAGTCCCATTTAATAACATATTGGCCCTTTACACTGATAGTGATGCGTTATAACAAGATAAAGGATTGGTTATGATCCATTTAACTTACACAACTGTGTTTTACTTAGTTATGCAGTTTCAGACGCCGAATAGAACAAGTCATCATTGTTTTTTACAGCAACACTTGGCAAGCTCAATGTAGAGCCGGCACCCTCGTAACCTTTTTCCATTACCTCTTCCTTTCCTTAAAATTAAAATAGAGCAACCAAATGACCAAACCTTCCTTCACTTCGATGCTTTGAGTTGCTCTTCACCTTTATGGCTTTTACTTTTCCAAACCCACAAAGAATCAGCCATAAAACATAGATCAGAAAACTGTGAAACAACAAAAGACTAAGCCTATAGCAGAAACATGGACAGGCTCATAAGACTAGACCCATCAAACATAGTCCCAATAAGGGTTGAACCAGGGCAAAAATGTCATGGCCAAATCACCTTACGCAATGTTATGTACACCATGCCAGTGGCCTTTAGGCTTCAACCATTGATCAAGACCCGTTACACAGTGAAGCCTCAATCAGGGATCATATCCCCTTTAGCCACACTAACTATAGAGATCCTTTATCATCTCCCACAAGGCTCTAATCTCCCACACTCTTATCCTTATTCTGAGGACTGTTTCCTCCTACACAGTGTGGTTGTTCCTGGAGCAACCATCAAAGAACCTTCCTCCATGTTCGAAGCAGTCCCCAATGACTGGTTCACCACCAAGAAAAAACAAGTCTTCATTGACAGTGGCATCAAAATCATGTTTTTAGGCTCACCCATCTTGGCTCAACTTGTTGCAGATGGCTCAATGGATGACATAAGAGAAGTTCTTGAATGCTGTGACCCAACATGGAAACCCGTTGACTCAATAGACTCACAAGGCCATACACTACTCCATTTGGCTATTTCACAAAGAAGACCAGACCTTGTTCAATTACTCTTAGAATTCAAGCCAGATATAGAAGCAAGAAACCGTTCTGGTTCAACTCCACTTGAAGCAGCATCTTCCTCAGGAGAAGCCTTAATAGTTGAGCTTCTATTAGCTCACAAGGCCGTTACAGAGAGAACAGAATCATCCACATGGGGACCAATTCACCTAGCAGCAAAAGAAGGACACTTAGAAGTTTTGAGGCTCTTATTACTCAAAGGTGCAAAAGTTAACTCACTCACCAAAGATAACAACACAGCTTTACACCTTGCAGTTGAAGAGCGTAGAAGAGACTGTGCTAGACTCCTACTGGCAAACGGTGCAAGAACAGATATACGCAATGCAAGAGATGGTGACACCCCTCTACACATAGCAGCAGCCATTGGTGATGAGAACATGGTCAAGCTCTTGCTCCAAAAGGGTGCAAACAAAGATGTGAGAAACATACTAGCCAAGACTGCATATGATGTTGCAGCAGAGAATGGACACACGCGCATCTTCGATGCGCTTCGGTTTGGGGACAGTTTATGCGTTGCAGCGAGAAAGGGTGAGGTTAGAACATTACAGAGATTGCTTGAGAGTGGTGCAGCCATTAATGGAAGAGACCAACATGGATGGACAGCGTTACATAGAGCATGCTTCAAGGGAAGAATAGATGCTGTTCGTGTTCTTCTTGAGAAAGGGATAGATGTGGATGCAAAGGATGAAGATGGTTACACTGCGTTGCACTGTGCTGCAGAGTCTGGACATGGTGATGTGACAGAGGTGTTGGTGAAGAAGGGTGCAGATGTTGAGGCTAGAACCAATAAAGGTGTTACTGCGTTGCAGATAGCAGAGTCTTTGCATTATGTTGGGATAACTAGGGTACTTCTCAATGGTGGGGCTAGTGGGGACAATATTGGTCAAGTGGTAGAGCCAGAACCTGCAGTGATTCCAGTTGAAGGTAAAATGATGAAGATGAAAATGAAGATGAAGAAGAAGAAGATAGGAAGAAGTGGAGAGGTTCGGGGTAGCTTTGATCGTTCAACGGCTTTGGCTGTGCTTTAGTTGGTATTGCTCATGATTTGGTTCATGAAATTTAGTATTCAAACTGAGATGATTGTTGGTTTTTTGGGGGGATAACTTGTGCAGGAAATTAATTGTAGATTTGTCAAACATGTTCTTTCCATTGGTTATTAGTTATTGCAATACATATCATTGTTAAAGTTTATGAACAATATTAAATGCTATCAAATAAGTGAATAGAACTTGTGAATGAACTAGATAGAAAATTCCAAATGAAATGATGAAAACTCTAAGACAAGCAAGGTAAAAAAAATCAACAACTGAAGTGCTGGTCCCACTGAAGTTTGGTTGTTTGATGGAAATTAATCCCAATGAAGTGCAATGTATTCCATCAGGATTTTAAAGGATTGAAAAAAATCATGTGGTATTTGATTAGGATTTTAGAGTCCGTCCAAATCCAGTGTATTCAATCAAGATTTTAAACAAAGGAAAAATAATCTTTTGGTATTCAAAAATCTATCGATTTCAGTGAATTTTCTATTGGTGTGAATTTCGTGAGACTTTTTAGTGGGAAGTATAAATAGGATGCCTCTCTCACCTTAACCTCTAGGAGTTCTTGATTATAGTGCTTCTTCTTCCTTTGGCGGGTTGGCTTGCTCAAAATCGGGTTTCGCCAAAGGAGCTTTGTTAAAGCTCAAAAATAGAAGATTTTTCAGTGATTCTCGTCACAAAACAACACAGAAATAACAACCCAATAAGATTTTAATCTAATCCATCTCAAAAATAGCAAATTTTTTAGCGATTTTTGTGAGCTTTTGAATGTTTAAAAAATGATTTTTCAAACTGAGTCGCGATTTTTCTTGCACAGGAATATGTATTTTTGTATTAAAATCAAGGGTAAAGTGTGTGTCATTTTAAAGGATGTAAAGTTGTATCTTTTTAAGAGAGAGAAAGAGATAGATAAAGGAAGAGAGAGAGTTGACAAAAAAAATAAAGATGTGGGTCCCGCCTCTTTGTGAGAGTGAAAGGATGTAAGTTGTGTCATTTATAAGGATAAACACTTTTTCCTAAAATCAATGGCAAAACAACAGGGGAACCAAAACTCCTAAACCAATTTTTGTTTTAGATAAGTGAAACGAAATCGATTTAAAGAAAAATTGAAATTTTCATAATATAAACCCTATGTTTCGTTACAATAAATTCATGAATGAAATTCCTTTGCTACAATAAACGATTTCAAACAATTTTTGTGTCAATAAATCACTAAAAAAATATTTTTCAAAAGCCACAAAGCAAAGGTTTCAATGTATTGATTGAAAGTAATTTGAGAAATTTTCTAAACATTCATGTAATAAAACCCAGAAATTCATATTCGAAATTTTCTTAGAATACACAATGAAAATATGCATATGGTATATAGTTAGAAAACTCTCATCACGTAGAACAAAAACCCTAAGGTTTTCAAGATCAATAGCAAAAATTTCTAAACAAAATTTTATCATGAACTTTAGGTTCTCTATGCAAATTTCCAATTATTTTAATAAATTAAAAAATTATGGGTCTTATAATCATATATTCATAGCTCTGATACCAAATGACGTAGATAATATTCATTTGTTAATGCATGGCGGGCTATTATAGATATTTGGAGAACTGCTGCTTAGTAGGACATCAAGTTACTGATTGAGAAAATTATTTTAGGTTTTACTTTTTTATTTATATTATTGCATTTCTTTTTTATTGACTCTTGTAATTTTAAATGTTTATTAAAAATTCATATGATTTTTTAAAATCTTATCAATTCATATTGTCCTTTCAAATCTTATAAATTCTATTGAAATCCTTTAAAATTCAATCTTATAAAATCTTGATTGTAAAAAAAAAATATTTTTAAAAAGTCTTTAAAGTCACTATAATTCTAGATAATTTTTAAAAATCTGTAAGATTTTTTTATCTCAAAATAATTTTTTAAAATCTTAATCCAATTCACCCCATAAGTTTCGTATAAATTTTACTTTTCAATGATTTATGATGTTAAAACCTTATGAGATGATTTATAAAAGAGGTTGAAATAGGTAATTTGCAATTTGACCAAAAAAAAAAAAAAGTTTACATACAACGAAACCTGGCTACCAAGTAAAGGCCTGTTTTGCATTCCTGGGCTTTATGACCCTTTTTTTGTCAAAATTCATGGCCCGTAGTTTACTAGCTCTCAAGTTACAAATATATGTGTTATATTTTATTCTATTCTTCTTGATTAAAATAACAGCCAAAAACTTGAAACACCCCTGAGAGTTTACAGAATTCTCATGTTTTTAACAAACGTCCATTAGAGATCAACATTAATGATAAAATTATTTTTATATGGTTTTTTTGACACAATTTAACTTAAAAAAGAAATCCTTCATTTCTTTTTCTCATTTCTCCTTTTATTTTCTGAGCCGCTATAATAAGTCTATAACTATTATATCAATAATAAGTAAAACATAGTCAAATCTCATTTGCAATGTATGTGGAAAAAGACAAAAGGAATCAAGCATTTAGGTGGCTGAAAAGGGTATTGGTTGAAATAAAAACAAGAGGCGTACATGAAGAGGACTTGTTTGAATTGGTAGTAGTAGCAAAACGTAACAATCAATGGTTGGTGTCAACTGTCAAGAGCTAGCGCCACCTTCACATGTTGACGATCACCAACCGTGCAATTAGCAACGCAAATTTTTATTCAAAGGTTGGGTTGGTGACTTTAGGTAACCCTAATGTATGTGGCATGTAAACCAACACTTTGAAAATTGAACCTTAACACTAACATCCATACCTTAAGGCTCATACCTACTCACCTGTCACCATATGACTTGAACTTCCAAATAAACCCAATACGCATGGCTTGTTCAAGGTGCATATGGTGGGTTGCGTGACATTAGCTCCTGCTTATCCTTTTGACTCGAACGTCATCAAAACGAACTGTATACATTTGGTATACTGTCATTTTGACAAAGTTTGTGTGATTTCCACTTGAGTACTTTAAGTAAAGAAAAAAATGAAACTATGAGAATGATATTTTTTTTAATAATATAAAGAAAAGTAATAGTAATGCAAATTGCATATACTTTTCTTTCTTCAATTTAAGCTTACATAAGCATTGGAATTCCATTGAGTATTTGACCCAAACTCCTTCAATTTAAATTTACAAGAACATTGGAGTTCCATTGAGTATCTAATCCAAACTATGATAAATTTAGATATGTTTCCTCAAATTGGGTTTTTAAAAATCTCAAGAGTAGCTCAGTTAGCAACTGAGCTTCCAAAGATTTGTTTGGGTTAGGGGTTCAAATCATATCTTAAGCAAATTCTTAAAAAAAAATTGGAGACCAAACAAAAAAAAATATGTGTAGTATATTAATATAACAATAATTTAGTGAGACAAACATATAAATCTAAGTTCAACATAAGAGTTACCGCGCAAGTGAGTCTCATGTATAAATTAACATACTAACAAGATGAATGAGTACGCAAAAAATGCATTTTCTTTGGTGGAAGAGAGATATTTATAGGTGAAGGATATTCCCCAATAGAGAGAAAGAGATATCCTTTGTGGGTAGGGGTGTGCATGGGTCAGGTCGGGTCAGGTTTTTGTCCGACTCGACCCAACTTCGTTTTTATAAGTCAGGTATTTTGACCCGACCCGCTTTAATTTGATCCAAGTCAGGTCTGACTTGGATTGGATTTTGTTGAACTAGTTCAGAACCAGTTTGGATCTGACCTGACTTGGTTTCTGAAGTGGGTCTGACTTGGTTTCTGAACTGAGTCAAATCTGACCTGACCCATTTTTGACTTGGTTTTCTCACGAAATTTTTATGTTGCAAAAGACGAAAATTTCGTCACAAAATTATTTTTTCGTCGAAATTTTTACAAAAAAAAAATTTCTATTGAAATTTAGTTTCCGTCAACAGTTTTGACGAAAATGATTTCTTCCATCAAATGTTTTAAAAGAAAAAAGAATTTTGTCAAAAAAATTGACGGAATGTTTTTCGTTCAAAATTTCGATGGGAATGTGTTCTGACGAAAATTTTGACGGAAATTATTTCGAGGGAAATGTTTCATTTGAAACTTTCGACGAAATTTAGATTTTCTAAAGAATTTTGACAGAATATTTTTTTCGTCAAAATATTTTTTTTGTCAAAAAAATTTACGGAATTTTTTTATAGAAATGTGTTTCGTTGAAAATTTTGATGGAAATTTTTTACCAAAAAACTTGACGAAAATTTTTAGTTGAAAATTTGCGATGGAAATGTGTTTCGCTAAAAATTTTGACGAAAATTTTTTTTGTGTCAAAAAAGTTAATGAAAATTTTTTCGACGAAAACTTTCACTGAAATTTGAAATCTGTACAGAATTTTGATGAATTTTTTTGCCGTCAAAATTTTTTGATGACGAAAATGTTTCCGTCGAAAACTTTCGCCGAAATTTGAAATCTGTAAAGAATTTGATGAAATTTTTTGCCGTCAAAATTTTTTGATGACGAAAATATTTCCGTCGAAAACTTTCGCCGAAATTTGAAATCTGTAAAGAATTTTGATGAAATTTTTTGCTGTCGATATTTTTTGCCGTCAAAATTTTTTGATGACGAAAATGTTTCCGTCGAAAACTTTCGCCAAAATTTGAAATCTGTAAAGAATTTTAATGAAATTTTTTTACGACGAAATTTTTTGATGGAAATGTGTTTCGTCGAAATTTTCAATGGAAATTGTTTTGAGGAAAATGTTTCATTTGAAACTTTCGACGAAATTTAGATTCTCTAAAGAATTTAGACAAAATATTTTTTCTGTCAAAATTTCTTATCGAAATATTTTTGTCAAAAAATTTTACGATTTTTTTTTACAGAAATGTGTTCCGTTGAAAATTTTGATGGATATATTCTTTATCAAAAAACTTGACGAAAATATTTAGTCGAAAATTTTTTATAGAAATGTATTTCGTTAAAAATTTCGACGAAATTTTTTTTTATCAAAAAGTTTAACGAAAATGTTTTCGTCGAAAACTTTC